CCTACCCATGCTGTTTCTTCTAAGCTACAAATATCTGTTTCCATTTAAAAGCATAATTATGGTTTTAAAATAGGAAGCATCATTCCATGTGTTTTTATATTCTCATTACTCAGTCAAGCAGTGATGATAAAACTCTTTCATTATAAATATGTAGCCCATTATGGTTTTCAAAACATTTTTACATGCTCATAGTAATCCTATGAAATGTATACTTTAAAATTTAATCAAAGGATGGATTTTGGTCAAAGACTTTGTAGCCCCAAAACTGCTAAATCATTCTGGACATTAAAATGCTGGCCAGAAAGGTCAAATAGGGGATATGAGATTAGAGGCTTTGAATTTATTGATATTGGTATGTTATATTCATGAACAGCAGGAAATGCACTAAAATATCTTGGTGTGGGCCCATCACATCTCAAGCCAGTACTTCAATAATAGCTTTTTTTTTTTTTTTTTTTTTTTTTGCATTTCCCTATGTGTTATGGCTCTGCGTGGGAGAACAGGTGATTTCAACATAGCTGTATTTTTTTTTCTTTTCTGAGACAGGATCTCACTCTATCACCCAGGTTGGAGTGCAGTGGTGTGCTCTCAGCTCACTGCAGCCTCCACCTCCTGGGCTCAAGCGATCCTCCCATCTCAGCCTCCCAAGTAGCTGGGGCTACAGGCAAGCAACACTATGCTCAGCTAATTTTTAATTTTTTTTTTTAGAGACAAGGTATCACTATATTTTCAGGCTTGTTTTAAACTCCTGGATTCAAGCAGTCCTCCTGCCTCAGCCTCCCAAAGTGCTGGGATTACAGGCATGAACCACTGTGCCCAGCCTCAACATAGCTATCTTTTAAGGTTAATCATTATATTTTATCCAAAACCGATTTTAAACTGTCACTATAAATATTACTATCACTGCATTCATGATCATATACCATTATACTTAGCACAGTAGTTTGACCAATGTGAGGGCATTAACACTCTCTTTCAGGAACTCCTTATTCCATTCCTTTTTGTTATACTTCCTCTATCTTGTGTTCTTTCCTGTTAGTTAGTTCCCTCCATCTTAGGTTCAGACTGGATTTTTTCCTCATTTGTCTCAGTTCTAAAGGAAAAGGAGGCTGGGCATAGTTGCTCATCCTGTTGTCCTAGCACTTTGGGAGGCTGAGGCAGGAGGATCTCTTGAGCTGAGGGATTCGAGACCAGCCTGGGCAACATAGGAGACCCCCATCTCTACAAAAAAAATTAAAAATTAGCATGACATGATGGTACATGCCTGTGGTCCCAGCTACTTAGGAGGCTGAGGCAGGAGGATTGCATGGGCCCCAGAGGTTTAGGCTACAGGGAAGGGAAGGGAAAAAGGGATGAAAGGGATGATCCTCAGCGTCAACTCTTGACGTCGGAGTAAAATACTTTCCTATTTTGCTGGTCATCTGAACACCTACCCAAATACATCCATTGAACTTAAATAATCTGTAGACATTTTATAAAATCTTTTTTTCTTTTTTTCCCCTTCTCAATATTTTTACTTGTAGTTTTTACTCATTTATGAGGTCAAATTGATTGGTCCCATGTTATGATTAAAGAAATAGAATCAGAGAACACTCATGTGACTTGCTTCAAATACAAGCCAAAGTCAGAGTTCAAATTATTCTTTATTAGTTCCTACTTCATTATGAGAAGTCTCCCAAGTTACAAAATAGATTGTGTTCCAAAAATTCATTTGTAAGTCAGCTTTTTGGCATTTGAACTGCATTTTACCAAGTGGAAAAAAAATGTTATAAATGATGATTAGGTCCCTGGCTGGCATATAAGAATCTATTTAACTCTTGTGTAACTACAAAATGATACATTTGTAATAAATATAAAAAACAATGATAGTTGTGATTCTGGTTACAAAGAAAAATAATTTTTTTTTCTTGAGGATAAACATTTAATTAGAAGATAGGGAAACATGAAGATTGAGGCGGATCTAGGAGGGATTTCAGGGATCTTTGAAAGAAGTTAGAGGTTAATGGGATGCTGTCTGAAGGCCAGTGTATTCAATTCTTATACTACCCTAAACATATACCTGGGCTGGGCACGGTGGCTCATGCCTATAATCCCAGCATTTTGAGAGGTTGAGGTGGGCAGATCACTTGAGGTCAGTAGTTCGAGACCAGCCTGGCCAACATAGTGAAACCCTGTCTCTACCAAAAAATACAAAAATTAGCCAGGCATGGTGGCACACACCTGTGGTCCTAGCTACTCAGGAGGCTGAGGTGGGAGAATCTCTTGAACCTGGGATGCAGAAGTCACAGTGAGCCAAGATTACACCATTTCACTACAGCCTAGGCAACAGATCAAGACCCTGTCTAAAAAAAAAAAAGGGAAAAAAGAAAAAGAAAAGAGAAATACCTGAGGCTGGGTAATTTATAAAGAAAAGAGGTTTAATTGGCTCATGGTTCTGCTGGCTACACAGGAAATATGGCAGCACCTGTTTAGCTTCTGGGGAAGCCTTTGGAAACTTACGGCAGAAAGTAAAAGGGAAGCTGGCCAGAGAAAGAAAAAGTTGGAGTGGGGGAGGGTGGACATGTGCCACACACTTTTAAATGACCAGATCTCACAAGAACCCACTCACTATCACAAGAACAGCACCAAGAGGCAAATCTGTCCCCATGATCCAGTCACCTCCAGCCAGGCCCCACCTCCAGCACTGGGCTCACACTTGGACATGCGATTTGGGCAGGACACAGATCCAAACCATATCAGCCAGTTTCACTTGAGCCATTTGCTGTTAGATGCTCTCACTAGCATAACTTACCCAACTTCTGTGATCGGAATCAGTAGGATTGACTGAATTAAATACTTAGGAAAAAATAGACTATTTGAGATGATACATTAACCAACCTGGGATGGTAAAAACAAACCAACAAATTAGAAGTATTTCTTCCTTCCACCCTCCTGTGGAAAGGGTGGGAAGAGTTGTTGACTTTCCCATTTAACCCAGCAGATCCCATCAGCTGTGACAGCTTAGCTGAGGTACAGGTGGAGGTTGGAGAAAAGCATGTGCCTTCAGTGATCCCTTTGAATGGAGTGCTTGTACAATGAGAGTTTCTAATTCTGGGAAATAATGGCATTGATCTCATCTAGTGATTGTTTCCTACATTGCCTAACACACAATTAAACCTCTTAAATTTCAAGTAACTTTTTAAAAAAAGTCCAATGCTTCTTTAAATGTCCTTTAATTTATTTTTTTCATAACATTTGCATATTTTTCTTTTGTTAACAAAAGAAAGGTTATATTCTTCAGTAAACTGAAATGTAAATGAGCAGATCTTGTTCAGATAGCACATTTAGAAAATGATGGGATGAGTAGAGTTCTTGCCTCCTGGATCAGATTAATGCTCTTTCCAGTTGGTATATCTACCCCGCCTCTCTGCTAGTTTAGATAAAACATTTAACTACTGTTACTCAGTATTGGGTATATAACTTGAATGTTTTACGTTGGATACATTGGGAAGTGATTTAATGAAGGAGAGAGCAACTGTATTTACTACAGTTCAGAATCCATATCAATGGTCATTATGAAAGGAGGTTTGAGATTGCCAAGCCATTTTCAAAAGTGATGTAAGACTGATGAGAGAAGTAACATCTACTTGATTATTTATATTTTTAGATATTTTTAAATGCTTTGTCTTTCCTCTAAGCAATTTATAAAGAAATTCCTGTTGCATGATGTTTATTTAACTGAATTTGTGTGTGTGTGTGTGGGGGGGGTGTTGGAGGAATTTTGTCTGAAAGGTAAATACGCTAAATGTATATCCTAGTATGGGCATGCTCTGCCCACAAATGCCCCTGCTGAGTAGTTTACACACTGGGTGAAAATGTACATAGGAATCCTTATGGGAGATCCAGGTTTGCTAGTGAGATTACCATGTACTCAGACTGAAAAAGATGATTTCTTCTGGTTACCTGTATGTCTGCCAGAGGTGGGGAAGGACTGGAGAGAGATTCCTCCAGAAGTTTTGTCTACTTAGAAGACAGCAAGTCAGAATGGTTAGCAAGCCAAATTACGGTTTTCTTTTTTTGTTGTTGGCTTTCATGTGTGTGTTGAATAGACTAATAGCATTTTATGACCAATTTATTTTTTACTGTGAATTTCCAGATTTTGTGTGTATGTTGCTCAGAGGGTGGTGCAGTGGGCAAGGAGATAGGGAGTTTGTCTCTTTGTTTTGTTGGTTGATTGAACACACTTGTACTGGTAATTTGAGCATCTCAGGATCTTCTTTTATATTGAAGGCCTCAACCCTTTGGTGGAAGGAAAAAAAAAGTAAGAAAAAAATATCCTTTGAAGCAAATCCCACCCATAGTATCATTTCTCTAATGTGCAAGCAATGTTACCTGTAGTATATTACGTAGAATTTTACATCTGATATTTTGGTTGCTAGAATTTTCTCAGCTTTCCTGACTGGTTTTAATTTATTATTATCAGACTTGAATAACTAAGAGCAAAAATCATATATACTTGAGATTTGTCTAAGATATAAAACATTCTTAAGATTATTTAAATTATTTTAACCTTGTACAACTAATTGCCCTCAGAATGGCCCTTCATTTTTCCTGTCATTTTTCTAGAATATGCAAGCCAAACATGGTATTGTTGAAAAGTTGAAGGATGATCTTTCTATCCTCTCCCCTCTCCTATGCAAAATGGTCTAGTTCTTAACTGATTACTTGTGCATCTAGGATGGGGTGAGAAGAAAGGCACTGAAAGGAGAGGTGGGCAGGAGAAAAAGTGATCACTGGGAATAGAAGAGGGTTCTTAAGGTGCATAAAATAGCTGGAGGAAGGAAGGGGGTGCCACTGTGTTGCTGGTTCTATCACAGATGCTGCCAAATTTCCACTGCTGTCTCACAACTCTGCAGGAACCCTCGTTTTCAAAGAGCTATTTTTAAATATCATACTTGTCTTTCCTATACATTTGCCTGCCTGACTATAACTGGGGAATTTTATATGATTTTCTTTCTTAGGGTCAAGAAATTGGAGTATGGCTATGAGCAATGGAAACAATGATTTTGTGGTTCTGAGCAATAGCAGCATCACAACCGGTGCTGCTAACCTGAATCCCCTCACCCCCTGTGATGGAGACCATGCAGCCCAGCAGCTCACACCCAAAGAAGCAACAAGAACAAAAGTGAGTCCAAATGGATGCCTGCAACTTAACGGCACAGTTAAATCATCCTTACTGCCTTTAGACAACCAAAGAACGCCTCAGATGTTATCTCAATGCTGCCATCCTTGCCCATACCATCACCCTTTGACTAGCCATAGCAGTCACCAAGAGTGCCATCCCGAGGCTGGCCCTGCAGCACCCTCTGCTTTGGCCTCGTGTTGCATGCAGCCACACTCCGAGTATTCTGCATCTCTTTGTCCACATCATTCACCTGTGTATCAGACTACATGCTGTCTTCAGCCCTCTCCATCCTTCTGCCTGCATCATCCGTGGCCTGACCCTTTTCAGCATCAGCCAGCCAACATAAGGTAAGCGGCCTGAAAGGTTTACTTTTAGCGTTCAACTAATTCCACGTGAACATGACTGCTTGAGTTTATTTTTCTGAAAGGAGAGGAGAAAAATGTGGCATGGAAAAAAACCCTATGACAATGCCTATTTCATGGATTGTATGACGCCAACAAAAATGCAAATAAAATAATACAGTATATCTATTTTATCCACTGACTCCTTAGTCAAATCCTCCCTTCCCCTCTCCCCTCTGCGACCGGGTTAGGAACTCCTGCTAGACCTTGAGTTATAAAATGTAACAAAAAGCTTTATTGTTAGCAATTTCTGTTACTGTGCATGGGAAGGATGTTTATGATGAGGCGACGTAAGCGGCACTCCTGTATCTGCTCTGACTGATAGTGGTGAACGTTATGAGAAAGAAGTGGAAACCTTGCTGCTTTGTGGTGCCTTACGGCTGTCCTCGACACTTTCTATCCATGTGTTCCGGCGACTGTGTAGTACGCTGAGATCAGATCAAAGTAGCAGTTCCCTTCGTAGCACATGAAACTGCTAAATCGTAGCTTGGGACTTCTAAAAATATTTTTTGTAAAGCATTTTTAGATCTGGTAGATTGAAAAGTACTGGAAAAATGGGTAACGTTGCCAGTGCTTATTTCCATCTCAGCCCATAGTTTCTCATATAAGTGATTTTCAGCTATTTTTTCCAGGGGAAGTTAAGCTGCATTCAGTACAGGTGAGCAGTGATAATATATTTTAGAAAATACTGGGCCGGGCGCAGTGGCTCAAGCCTGTAATCCCAGCACTTTGGGAGGCCGAGGCGGGTGGACCATGAGGTCAAGAGATCAAAACCATCTTGGTCAACATGGTGAAACCCCATCTCTACTAAAAATACAAAAATTATCTGGGCATCGTGGTGTGTGCCTGTAATCCCAGCTACTCAGGAGGCTGAGGCAGGAGAATTGCCTGAACCCAGGAGGCGGAGGTTGCGGTGAGCCGAGGTCGCACCATTGCACTCCAGCCTGGGTAACAAGAGCGATACTCCGTCTCAAAAAAAAAAAAAGAAAAGAAAATACTGAGTACTTTGTAGAAACCAAGTCTTATTTCACATTTTTAAGTAATAAAAAAAGTTCCTTCATGCCCCTTCTGTTATTCCGTCTGTCTTCACCAGAAGCAATCTCTGCTGAGTTCTATTGCTGTAGATTCGTTTTACCTGCTCCTAGAGCTTCATGTGAGTGGAATCATACAGTGTGTACTCTTTAGTGTTTGGCAGTTTTTGCTCAGCATGATGTTTTTGAGTTTCATCTAATTGTGGGATGTATTTGTTTTTCCATTTATTGCTGAGCAGCAATCCACTGTATGCATGCAGCAAATTCACTTTTGATTAAAGAGTCAGGGATGGGTGCTGCAGCTCACGGCTGCAGGGATTACAGAATCCCAACACTTTGGGAGGTTGAGGTGGGAGGATTGCTTGAGCCAAGGACTTCCAGGCCAGCCCGGGCAACATAGCAAGACTCTGTTTCTACAAAAAAAGTTAAAAAAAATTTTTTTTTAAAAAAGAGTCAGATCCAGAAAGGGATTAAGTGATACATACTTTTCACCTTTATCAGGTTTTGAACATTGTTGAGATTATCTGGTTTCATCTTTTTAAAGAGAGGAAGAGAAACATGGTAATCAAGCAGAAAGAAAGAGTGGGGAGGGGAAAAGAGGAGAGTTCTTCACACATGTTTCTGCAATTTCTGGATACATTTTCCATTTTGGATTTGAGAGTTTGAGAGTCTTTCGTTATAGAGATATGATAAATTCACCACATCTACCAAAGCCATTTCTTAGAATATTTGTCCTGACAACATTGTGCTACATGACTAGTGTTAGACTCTTTCCATTTTGAATCAAACTGTGTGAACAGTTGATTTTTAAATTATCATATATATTGATGTTTCAAGTAATAAATTATATGGTTGCAAAGTATGAAATAAAATAGATATTTCTGCATTTTGAAGCTGATACCTCCTTTTGAAAAATCAGAACGTAATGAAACTATGGACAAATAACCAATTATTTCAGTGTGGAAGCTTGTGCCAAGGTTTTCAGGATTTTGATTTGGCATTTCTCAGTGACCTCATTTGAAAGCAGTGAGATCCTTGTGTACGCCTTAAGTAGAATGACATTAAAAACAAACTGATACACGGGGCTGAGCTCGTCACCACCTTTGGTGTGGGGTCGTTGTTGGAACCGGAGCCTTTGCAATCACGGTGGACTGACTTCAGACTGTGTGTGACCACTGGGTGCGTAGACTTGTCCTTGCAGGATTTGCCTATGTGTTATCCGAAGAGAAAGAATGATGAAAAGCTAACTGCCTTCTGGAAAAAGAGTATGTTATTTAAAAGGGAATTGAGACCCATGGAGAAGTTGCTTGGAAGTCAAGGCTGTGGCTGCACTATACAACGTTTACATTTTAAAAGTTATGAGAGAAATAAAAGCACTTCCATACCTAATTTGAAAAACACTGACTTAAAAATTGCCATAATTGTCCATCAAGAAGAGTTGTAGAAGAAGGTAGAATAGTATGAAGGAAATTTTTTATATTTAGAATTTTATCTCAAGAATTTGAGCCTTTTGGTTATTTGTAATAGGCACAAAATGTTTCAAAGATGCCTGCAGAGGAATAGTATGTGTCCAGTCGTGTATGTTACATACCTTATCGTGCCTCAATGATTGCTCTCCTATTTTCTACATTTACGTATACAATCCACAATGTTTGCTGAATACTTACATGTGCCAGGTGCCGAGGATGTAATTCCAAACAAGTTGAGACATTCTTTTGCCTTCACAGAGCTTTAAACTAGTACGAAGGGAGACACTAAAGCAAATAGCAGCTGCAGTATTGTGGTGAGTACTATCAAGAAGGGATACACAGAGCTGAAGATGAAGGACTTACAAATGGAGACAATTGAAGAGGCTTGTCTTTTAGACAGAGGGAACAGTTTATGTAAATACTTTTATAAGGTGGTATGCGCTCAGCTCCAGCATAGGTCAATATGGCTGGACCCTAGTGGAAGAGAGAATGGTAGCAAGAGGAGAGGTATACTAGGACTAAGTCCTGAAAGCTTTTGTAAACCACATTAATGCAGTCACTAGACTTCATCCTGAGGTTAATGAGGACCCATTATAGATTTGTGATTTTTTTTGTGATTTTGTTTAGTATAATGAAATATATATAACATAAAATTTAATATTGTAGGCTGGGCGCGGTGGCTCAAGCCTGTAATCCCAGTACTTTGGGAGGCTGATGCCGGTGGATCACGAGGTCTAGAGATCGAGACCATCCTGGTCAACGTGGTGAAACCCCGTGTCTACTAAAGATACAAAAATTAGCTGGGCATGGTGGCGCGTGCCTGTAATCCCAGCTACTCGGGAGGTTGACGCAGCAGAATTGCCTGAACCCAGGAGGCGGAGGTTGCGGTGAGCCGAGAATGCGCCATTGCACTCCAGCCTGGGTAGCAAGAGTGAAACTCTGTCTCAAAAAAAAAAAAAAAAAATTAATATTGTAATAATCTTGAAGTCTAGAGTTTAGTGACATTACATACATCCGCAGTGTTGTACAACCATCACTACCACCTTTGTCCTGGACTATTTCATCTTCCCAAACTGAAGCTCGATACTCATTAAATTATACTCCCCCTGCTCCTGGCAGCCTCATTCTAGTTTTTTTCTCCATGAATTTGACTTCTCTATAGCCCTCAAATAAGTGGAATCATACAGTATTTGTCTTTTTTTTGTCTGGCTTATTTCACTCAGCATAATGTCTTCAAGGTTCATTCATGCTGCAGCATGTGTCAGAATTCCCTTTCTTTTTAAGGCTCAATAATACTCCATTGTATATTTATCTATTATATTTTATCAATTTATTCATTGACGGACACTTTCATCTTTGGGGCATTGTGGCTATTGTGAATAATGCTGCTATGAACTTGGGTTCTGTTCAAGTCCCTGCTTTTAGTTCTTTTGGGTATATGCCCAGACCAGAAGTAGAATTGCTGGAGCATATGGTAATTCTGTTTTTAGCTTTTTGAGGAGCTGTTTTCCGTAGCGGCTGCACCATTTTATGCCACCAGTGCAAAAAGTTCCAAGGTTTCCGGATCCTGCCAACACTTGTTATTTTATCTGACTTTTTTTTAAGAGTAGGGATCCCAACTGATGTGAGATTATAAATGTTAAAGCAGAAAACAAACACAGTAAGAAACATTTTTGGAAGTTTCATCATTTGCGTTGTGGAGAGTAGATTGAATTGGGTCAGGACTGTTGTAGATATAAAGACCACTAGAAGGCTTATTACAGTAGTTCAGGTGAGAAATGTGGTAACTTGAACCATGATTTAGAAATAAATTCATTCTAGAGAGATTTAGGAGGTGGAATCTTCTAGATTTGGTGGATAATTGGATATTGGAGGAGCGAAGGGAGGAAGAATCACAACTGATTTTCAGTTTACTGGGTTGAGCAACTGTTTGGGTTGCTCGTAATGCCATTCACTGAAGTGGGGAAAAGGGGAACTATGTAAACAGAGCTGAGACATTGAGCTTCAGAGAGGACTACAGAGTATCAGTAACAGTGAAAGAGTGATGTCCCTTGAGCTTTGAAAGAATGAGGTCGCTGGGGAATACATGACAATGCACTGAGGGCAATACTGGTGGGGGTTATATTAGAATGAACACTGAAGCACTTAGACTCAGGCCAGCAGGCATTATATTTGCAAAACTGTGCTATAGGCAAGGCACTAAGTGAGGTACTATCTCATCCTTTCCTCAACCAATAAAATATCCGTAGAAGCAAATGTACTCTTGGATAGAGCTGCTATGTATGGGAGAACAGGACAGTTTCAGAAAGTCTGTGCAGGATGCCCTTGGTAAGGAATTCTGAAAATGAAGATGTTGGACAATGCTTTCCCACCTTTCATTTTCTACACAACGCTTTCAGGAACTTACTGTAACAAAGGTTCTAGAGGTTGACCTCTAAAATATTAT